CGGGGGGGGGGGGGGGGCCCCCGCCAGGCCGCCCGAGGGGCATCACCGGTGGGCTCCGGGAGGGGCGGGCATCATCCCCCGGCCGCCGCGGTGCCGGCCCGGGCTCCTCGCGGAAGAGGGCGAGAGGAAGGGCTGGGATTTTCCCGGCGGTTTTTCGCTTCCTACGAGAGCGACGAAACAGTTGCAGGCTGACCTCTAATCGCGTTTTGGCAATCTGGGTGTTCCTCGGCTCTGTCTCTCCATCTCCCCTTCCCGTCGGGGAAGGCTGACATCACCAGGACAGGATCTGATGACTTGGCTGGGTGGGGTGACGGCTCCAGCCCTGGGTACCTTTGTCCTGTAGCTGGGGCGAGCGGGCAGCCGCTGCGCCTGTTGCTCGGGAAGGCGAAGCCCATGGCGGTTTAGGGTCGGGTTGCGCCCTTCTGGCATCGCGGTGTGTGCGAGGTGGTTGTTTGTGTGTTTTGTTTTGGTTTTTTTTTTTTAAATTGGAAATCCGATTTTTAGAAACATCTAGTGAGCCCCGGCTAATGGGGCAATGAGCCGGTGCTGTGGGTTGGAGGCTTTCGCCGAGGTGTGGCTCTGTTTCCTGTTCTGCAGGGCATTGAGTCTGTTATGTAAATTCCTTAGATAATCTTTAAGTAAAACCTCGCGTTTTCTGGAAAATCAGAGTGCAGAAAGTAAAACTGGATTTTGAACACAAATTTTCTGCTGTTATTAAAGAAGATCTATTGAATTTGAACTGTCTACAGCTGTTAGCATTTCTACCCTTTTCCCCCCTCACAACCCACTGTGCACATGGGGAATTAACTTACAGACATTAAAACATCAAAAAAACCCCCAACATCTACATACAGGTGAAATCTGGGTATGTCACTTAACGTACACAGCGGGCTTTCAACCCTACCCTATTGCCCTGTGCAAGAGCTTAACAGATTGTATAGCCTGTTAATTCTCCATTGTATTTGTCGCTCTTTACTGCGGTTAAGTGGGTTTTTTTTGGTACTTGAATAATGGTATTTTAGGACGAAAGGGTTACAAGATGCCTGCTTTCTGGGACCTACAAAATTCTCTGTTACATTAGTAAAAGCTGTCCAGTAAAATGAGTTTAGAAGGAGTTAGTACCTTGTATTCTCCCGTGTCTGTGACTAGGTGTGTAAAGTCCAGGTGTTTTTTTCTTTTTAATTACTAGGAAAATACATATTTTTCTGTAAAGAACTGGTTAGCTCCTTTGAGTCCCAACAGTGGAGCTTTTTGTGATGCTGTATCCATACAGAAGGGAGAGGCTTCTGGAAGGATGTGGCTAGCACAGTTGAGCTCTGGGAAAGCCCATTTAATTGCCCACTGAGCTGTGTACCTTTGGATGCAGCAGTGGCCTCTGAGATGTGCAGAAGGTCATAAGCAGGCATTTTAAATCTTGCCACTTAAAATGATGTATAAAACAACCCGTATATCAGTGTGAGGCACCTTTAAACTGCTTGACTGAATGGAAGAATAATGTGGTGCTCGAAAACCGGCATTTTCTTTGTCAGAGATGGCAAAAATCTCCATAATACCGAGTGGTAATTCCTCCTAATATTGCAGCACAGTCTTTTCTGTTAAGCTTACAGTAGGCTAATACTTGATGCAGTGTAGTGGGGGAGGGCGGACTTCAGGAGTGTTAGATCACTAGGTGGCACGCTTGTCATTAGCCCCACGCTAATGGCAGTGTGCAAATACCCCCACGCAGTATTAGGGACACTGTACTGCTGGAAGTGACATTTGATGTGATGTGAAACCCCAAACACATGTCGTGAAGGATTTCATGCCTCTCTGACCAATTGCAAGGAGCCTGCCCTGTGTCCTTCACTTGACCAAATCGGATTCTCCAAGTCAAAGGATGGCATGTCTGGTTCTTCATGTGCAGTTTCAAAACAAGTTAGCTTGTATGCTTTTGGAAATGGCTGTGTGGTGTAGGTGAGTGGAATCTCCTTGCAGAGGCAGAATTCCATGGGTTGAAAGTGGCTTTGTAAAAGTAATGATAAATCACTACTGAAATCTAAAGGAAGTGTCTTGTGGCTTGACATAGCTAGAGGTAAACAATATTCTAAAATATTCTATTCTTCGTGTAGGCTGATCAGCTGACCGAAGAACAGATTGCTGGTAAGTGTCTTGATGAGAAATGATTATTTTTTTGCTAAGTCTTTTTGACTAAAAGAAAATATATTATCTCAAACATAATGGAAAAAAATCTTTTTGACAATTTCAGATCTGTACTAGCACTTTTTTAAAAGCATTTTTAAAAAAAAAAACACATTCCAGAAGATTGCTGGTTTATTGCCTCTTAATTTAGACCACTTGTTCCTTGGACTACAGATAATGATTTTTTTAGACTTTCAGACTTGAGCCAAGTCCTTCTAGATTTCTTGCAAACAGAAATAATTGCTAGACTCAAGTGAACTTCTTGGAGTAAAAGCAGACCTAGGCACTCTTTTCTTTTTAACAAAGTGGAGATAAAATTGAAATGAAATGGCAACAAATAAACCTAAAATGGATTTATTACACATTAATATAAGGCAATGTCTTTTAAATAACTTGTAACAGTGTGTCTGTAATTCAAACTGGTTAGGAGAAGGAGCATTATTTGACCTTCTGGAGACCAGTCACCCACTTGTAGCTGACATCAATTCTTATTGTCTGCTACCTTAAAAATAAGTTGTAAATGACAAAACTTACTGTTCCTGTAAGCCTGTTAATAGTGAAGGGAACCCAGTGGGTGCCTTCACCATTATCTCAAGCAGCTGCTGTTTATGGTGCAACTGTGCCTCGAGCAAGATGATGTTGAAATGCATTATGGAGTTGTAATGCAGATAATAGCCACATGAAATAAGTTTGAATATACTATGCAAATGATGTGTTGGTACTGTAAGTAATTTTTTCATTTAAGTGTTAATTCTCTCAATACGTGGACAGTTAGATAAAATATTTCTTAAAATGATACCAGGCATTGTCAGTGGAGTGCATTTTTAGTATGCAGTTTTGTCATGCTGGTGATGTTACTAAACACTGGGACTGTTTCTGCCTCTAGAATTCAAGGAAGCCTTTTCCCTATTTGACAAAGATGGTGATGGTACTATCACAACAAAAGAACTGGGAACTGTCATGAGGTCATTGGGTCAAAATCCAACAGAAGCAGAATTGCAGGATATGATCAACGAGGTAGATGCTGATGGTAAGTCTTGGAAAGGTAGTTATTAGCACTGTGATCATCTTTATGTACGACTACCACACCTGGGCTTGGACTGCATAGAGAAGATTCTGTGACATTGATCTCTTGAACCAGTTTCAAAATACTTGATAGAATCTAAGTTCAAAGGGGTGTCAGTTTTTTTATTGCTCTCTGCACAGCAAAGATGCTAGCAGTATTAGTGAGAATCTAAGAAGGGGGATGAGCAGAGACAAAGTTATGCTGTTTGTCTTTAATGTTGTATGGGTCACAGACTTCCTATTACTATCTGACTTGCCCTGACCTGCTGTTAACCTGCGTTTCCACCCAGCTTTTCTACACATGTTTCGTCAGCCTGTGTTGGTCTTAATAGCTGTACTAAGTCTGTGGTTTCGTCTAAGGCCAAAAATGTGGTAGGAGTGGAATAGTGCTAAACTTCCAAGAATTGAAAACACAACAGGGAGAGACTGTGTAGTCTAACATAGTGTATTTGGTCACTAATAGATAGGGGGAAGGATTGGAGGCAAAAGCAGAAAAAGCATCCTGTATCAAGTCTATCAGAATTCTTTTAAATGGATGCCAGAAAGGATAACTGCACATTTTGTTTCCGAGACTCCAGACAGGTTAGCAGTTATAAAATGGAAAAATGCTTTCCCGTGCTCAGTGATGTCAAGGCTTTGATCTTGTATGTTGGTTGTAATAGTGATTTTTCTCTAATATCTCTGTAAAAGAAGAGCGAAAGTATATTGGCAAGAGTATAGATTATCTGATTATCAGACTACATTAATTACACTACTTTCCTATAAGTGTAAGTTGACCTTAATTGCTAACTCTTGGATGCAGATACTGAAAAACTTCAGGGTTTGCAGTGCTATGTAGAGTTTGTGTATAGTGCCTTCTGCAGTCTGCAGTGCTGCAGTGGTAGATTAAAAATGAAAGGAGACTGAGGATTTCAGATAAGTATGCCTGCCCATCGGTTTAAATTTGTTTTATGGCAGAATGCTTTGCTATTATTCTGCTGTTCATTGAGGATTTTTCAAAGCTGAGTACAAGACCTATTTCAGACTTAGCTGGTAGATAAAGCTGGCCATGGTGATAAATAGCTGTGTATGTCTCAATCTGGAATCCCTAAGCTGCAAAGGTTTTCTTAAACTGCATTTATTTAGCTTCTTTGCTGTACTTACCCAATGAGTTTGTATGTTTCCCTCAAGCAGTGGGTAGATCTTAGTTGCACAGTGAACTATTTAATGCATTTTTTGGTATATAGGGCTGAATCGTAACTATACAAATGTAGTTTCTGCTGGTTTAAAGAACTTGTTTCTTCACCATGCCACTTTTCTCATAGCTTTGAGCAGCCTGAGGTTTGAATCCTTACTTTAAATGACGAATTTAAAAATCTTCAGGGTGAGGCCTGGATGTTACCAGGGATTTTCAGTTTTGCACTGAAATACCTATAAGAACACCTACTGCTAAGCTTATCAAACATACCAAATGGTTGCAGCTTTTCTTATGTCACTAGAATTTGGAGATCCTTGTTGCCTGTTAAAATGGTGCATTACTTTTGTGGTGTACAACGTAGGTTGATAAGGAAGTTGATTTTTAACAAGGAACAAGTATTTATGAGCAGCTTAGTGAAGTGTAATTTTTCTCAAATGTTAGCTATCCTGGATTTGTAGTGCCAGCTTTATAATACATTCCTTTCTGGAATCTCCCACAGCAATTAGGAGATTCTAAAGAAACTATACAATTAATTTTGGGGAGTGATTTGAAGTAAAGACAAGTCTTAGTATTGGTTAACCTTGGAGCATCAGACCAATATTTTACTTGCCACTTGGGTGGCAGATGGTATGGCTTGACCTGGAGAGAAGGCAACAGTTGATTTTGTTGTGCTGAAACACTGCAGTGACAGCAGCTACTGCACATTGTAATAGCAAAAAGGTAGTGGTAGCAATTGAGGGAGAAGATCCAGTTCTTCTATAAGAATAGTTTACAGAGAATCTGTCAATCTTATGCCTGGCTAAATTAAATGCCAGTTGTTTTTTTAATAAAGAAAAGCATGGAAGTTTAATTTTTGGAAGTTTCTTTTCATTAAGGCAATGGCACTATCGACTTCCCTGAATTTTTAACCATGATGGCCAGAAAAATGAAGGACACGGACAGCGAGGAAGAAATCCGTGAGGCATTCCGAGTCTTTGACAAGGTATTGATAAAAGTACAAATATTCTTTAGAAGCAGTAATGATATCCATTTTTTTCCCTCAGTATTTTCTCCCTTCTTGTCTAGAAGGAAAAAAAAGGTCCTCTAGTAGAAACAGAGGAATTGGAAGCAGAGCAGGGACTGTTTTGGAAACAGAACCAGGACTGTTGCAGGCTGGTTCCACCTGCTTTACACAGCAGGTCTAAGCTTTAGGCTCATCCATGAGAAAAACTTTCTGGCCTTTCCTTAGGAGCAAAGATGAGCAGAACTTGGTGCTTGTGGGGTTGGGGGGGGTGAAGGGGTGGGGTTTTTATGTACCTTCTGACTTCAGGGGAATGGGGAAATGTTTGCATGGATGCACAAGGTTTCATACTCTTTTATGGAAGCTTTTGAAGCTAAAATATCATCAGTATTTAGGGGTACAGGAAATATTGCGTGTTCTGTTTTCAAGGTGTGGACTTTGAGGTTGCTTTTGGGAAAACTTAAGAGCTCAACTCCCTCTGTCTTTAAGGATACCTGGGCATACCTGATCGAAGTCAATTATTTCTAGAACAGGGGTTCCCCCCTTTGGATTGCTTGGGTATGACAGATGTTAAGAGAATTGTGTTGAGCTGTGGATGGTGCAGCTGCTAACCTGATGCATGTGCATGTGTGGAAGAAGGCCTTATTACTACTTCTTTTTATGGCAAAAAAGTGGCAGTCTCTAGTATTTCACTGGAAAACGTGCTAGAGGAAGTGTTTGATTGCTTGGTTAGTACTTCATCTACTCTATGGGTTATTTCTGCAGACTAGATTTGTGTTTAAAGCCACTGAGGTAGCTTGCCTACTGGTGATGGCCATAGGAAGTCCTGGTCTAAGCTAGTATATTCTTCCTGTAGGTGGAAGAGGACAATTTCTGATATGGCTAGGGATGAGCTCTAGGTTTGGATATTACTAATGGGAACACTGACTTAGAAGTATCATTCTTTTTTTTTTTTTTTTTTTTTTTTTTTTTTTTTTTTTTTTTTTTTTTTTTTTTTTTTTTTTTTTTTTTTTTTTAATTTGCCACAAAGCTTTTTACAACTCCTTATGAGTAGAATTTAAATGCTTTCTTTGAAGTTTAATTCTACATGATCTTATCCAAGAAGCCTAACCTAGCCACCTGCAGTCTGGTGGTAGAGGTAGTATGACACAGAAGAGAAAGCTGACTTCATTCTTGCTGGTGGGGAAATTTGGTCTTTTCTTTTTTGACCTTGCTTAGGCAGCAGAGACTAAACAAAAAACATTTTGCTTCTGGGCTTATTTTTGAAAGATCTTTAAAAGCATTAAAAGTACCTTATCACAGCTACAAATCAGGCATGCTGTTATTCTTACAGTACAATAATCGTATAGGATATGGTGGCATGGATGCTTTGTAAGGCAATGGAACTAGTACGTATTGTAGGGTTATGCAGTGTACCAGGTCTGTGTATTTGTGCCAAGTGCCGTAACGCTAGTTCAGAAGCAGTTACTGGAAACCTAGATGTAGTGTCAGAGTTAATCACTGTCAGGATTGTTGATCGTGATCTTGTGCAACTCTTTCCTCACAGGATGGCAATGGCTATATCAGCGCAGCAGAACTACGTCACGTTATGACAAACTTAGGAGAAAAGCTAACAGATGAAGAAGTAGACGAAATGATCAGAGAAGCAGACATTGACGGGGATGGGCAAGTCAACTATGAAGGTAAAAAGATGCTTGTCCTGACTCAAAACCATTACTCAGATTGAGTGAAAGCCTGTTGCATAGGGCATTAATTTCTAGTCCTTGAGACACCAGTTTATTTGGTTGTCCGCTTCTGTGAACAACAACCTAGATGCAGTGAAAGGGGCTTTTTTATGCCAAGTGTGTTTAAAAGACTTACCAGTTGATAAATCACAGTGACTTTCTGTCTTTTCAGAATTCGTACAGATGATGACTGCAAAGTGAAGAGACCTCCTTTACACCTTTTTTCCTCTAGAAGAATCAAATTGAATCTTTTACTTACCTCTTGCAAAAAAAATGTTCATTTATTCATTCTGTTTCTGTATAGCAAAACTGAATGTCAAAATACCTTCTGTCCACAAACTGCATGTAATGGTTGGTGGTCCTGTCCCCAAAAGACAAAGTTAAACATCAGTTTTACAATATAAATAATTGTACTACCTTGAAAATAAAAAAAAAGGAAGCACTTAGTGAACTCAAAAGTTCCATTTGCTAATGACTATTACACTGTTTGGGCTGGCCAGTTTTTCATGCATGCAGCTTGACAATTGAGCACAGTCAGACATTTGTATTAAAAGGAAAAAAACAACCTAAAAGATCCACTCTTTTGTTCAGCAGTGGATTCTGGTTCAATTTGTAGTATAAATTGTCATAGCTGGTTTACTTTAAAATTGGTTTATACCTCAGGATGGTATGCAGCAAAATGGTTGAAGGATGCAAAACTTAGAGAAAATGCCCTAAAGGTTGAATGGTTCTCCTGTACGTAGCAGTGTGCTCCAAAAATACGATGATCTTAACTATGGATGGCATGTCTGTGTTAAAATACTGGTTTAACATTGTCTGCATTGCACTATAGTGAAACGGGTGTCGGGCTGTTACCGTTCACAAAATTTTTAAAAGAAACCTTCACCAAGGGAGCATCTTTGGACTCTCATATTTTTAAAACCTTCTGTACCATGACTTGGAGCTGGCGGAGTAGCCTGTGGACTTCAGCACAACTATCAACATCGCTGTTCAAGATACTACAATTTATGTCCATTCCAAGTTGTAAATGATAGTCTTTTTTTCCAATAAAAGACCATTAACTTAAAGGTGGTGTTAAATGCTTTGTAAAGCTAAAATATATATATAATTGAGATAATAAACCAAAAAAAGCAGTAGGAGGGAAGTGTTTCTATGAATGACTTGCTGCTAAATTATAATGCACATGTATGCAATAAGTTATCCCCTATCTTTTCAAGATGGCAAGAACTGACCTCCTGTAACCCAAGACCTTTGCTATAAATAAATGAACTTGTGCTTGCCTTTCATATTACGACAATGTTAATTTAGTTGGTCTCAAAGTCGTGTAATGCTGACTCGTCAACTATCAGCACAGAAGTAACACCTCATTTCACTAAAGTGGAGAGCTCTGAGCATGCATGTCAATACTGGGGAAACATGTATAGGTTGCTTATGTTTTTTTGACAGGTTATAGAAACTAGTTGGAGAATTTAAACAGCATGGACTTCATAGATATCTATGAATCTCAAACATGCCAAAAATGCATTTCTCTACCCACAGAAAGAAAACAAAAGGACATTTCTTTTACAATATGTAAAAAAAACCTAAGCCTTTTTGGAAAGTGGGGCTATTATGTCTTGACTATCTTAAACACTTGCATGAATTTTGTGGGGTGGAGAAGAGGACTAGGGTTAATTTAAAAACCATCTTGTTACTTCTGCTTTGCATGCACTAGCAGTGCTTAGTCATTCCAGGTCTCTGAGTAAGTGTTCTCTGATCCTTCGGCTTCCCCATGAATGAGTGGCAAAGCAGCCGTGTCCACTCTTCTTTGTTTGAAAGAAGAATGCTTTTTTTGCTTTTTTTTTTTTTTTTTTTTTTTAAATAGCAGAGCCTCCATGTGGAAGGCTTTTATGTTTGGGAGGGAGGGACTACAGCTTAATTACTTGACTGTAAGTTTGTTTCCAAACGTAAGTGGAGTTGCAAACCTTAATTGCTTAATTGCCTTTGGGTTTGGAGAGTTGATACTCTCTTGAAAGAGATGTAAGTCTCCATTCATCCTGTCTAACTGAGGTGCCTGTGTTAAGAACTTGGTTGCTTGAAATGCAGGTCGGTGGGGGTCAAGAGACACCTCCAGAAGGCAACTGAGACTATCTGCCTTCAGTGATTATTTTTTTTTTATTTTATTTTTTCCTGGAGGGGTGGGGGGAGTTCTGGGTGACTAGGGACCCAGACACCTTAACCAAGTGCCTAAAAGTTAGATGGGCTGAATGTAGGCAATTGTTTAGGTCTCTAGTTGTTGCAAAGGCTTTTTGCTATGGCTGTGTATGCTGTCTTAGCAAACTGGCCAGGATGATGGGAATGTCTGACTACCATTTGAAAGTGGAGTCTTGCATGGCAGCTGCAAACTGCTACTTTGGTAGTGCTTGAGAAAGGCTGCAGTGATTCTGTAGACCAGCTTTTAAAGAGAATGTACTCAAGAGACAGGCAAGGTAGGAGCAATGGTTGCTGCTCTGAACTAATTCCTTCTTCTGCCTGAGTGTGCAGAGAGATCTTGTCTAGTAGGTAAATGCTTCTTACCATCTATCTGTCATTCACTCACGGTTGGTAGGGTAGTTCATTTAAGAACAGCTGCTTTTAGCTTATTCAGTGTGCTCTGTGCTTGCTAGCAAAGAGACCTCATTCCTGCAAGAGGTTCTTGGCTTGATTAGAAATTGTCTGGCAGTGTGCAGTGTTGGTATGCCCTGTAACTGAATCTGCCTGGAGGTATCTAATTATTAACTGACTTCAGTACCACATCAACCTCGAGTAAATGTATCCTCTGTACAGGACTTTAGCTCTGTTCCCTTCTGCATAGTGAATATCTAGAGAAATGAAATGGTGTCATCAAGGACTTCTTTTTTTTTTTTTTTTAAAAAAATTGTGTGTTCAAGAGTTTTTTTTTTTTTTTTTTTTTTTTTTTTTTTTTCCTCCCCCTCCCCTCTGTGAGTGTGTGTGTGTGGCTTTGGCTTTTTCCAAATGTGAAAAGTGTGGGCTGGATACACTTGGTGCATGGCTTAGAAACATGGGACTGGAAAGAACTTCCTGGGTCATCAGATCCAGTCCCCTGCTATTGCAGGCAACCGTGTCATATAATCCTTTTAATAAACCGATCAAGCTTAACCACCTGCTTGTAAGTGGCTTGTTTTCATGGAAGTTCTGTAACTCATGTTGCTCTCAACTGATGCAAGTAATATATGAAATATGAAGTTAATCAAAAGGTCCTCCAGCTTAGCTTTAGGTTTATCATTACACTTAACTGACTTTCTCAAACCTGTTATTCTTTGCACAACACTCAGGAAAGTGTTGAATCTTTACACCCCCTTGCTATGAATAAGAGTTGGTGTGCTTGCTTATTTTTTTTAATGGAAAAGATGGATGTCTGGCTTGTTGAAATTTGTTAGATATGTTAATTGTCAAGGCAAGAAACAATTGAGTTACTTGTATTTGATACATAAATTTAAGGCTAGAGTATACATAACCATTTTTAAAATACATCAACTTGCAGTGTAGTTTTATATTTAATACTGAAATTGTACTGCTAAAGTTTAAACTGCTGTTAATCATATTCCTCTTCTGATCATAATGAAAAAATAAAGGGTAAGAAAATGCTTAACATAGATTATTCATTATCATGCTTATTTTATTAATAATTCAGGCACTGAAACGTCTCCAGGTATGGGGCATTCGTTTTGTCGGGTGGGATGGGGCGAAGGCGGGGGGGTTTACTGATGTGGTGGAAAACTCATCCCCAACCATTTGTCACATTTGTGCAGCTTCAGAAACACAGATGCTATCAAAAACTGATAGAGAAATTACCCTACACCTTACTGATGCGTTAAATGCACGTGTGGGTATGAGTCTGACCTGCGGGCAGCGTATGGTGCTGCAGCTGCCAGCCCCTGCGCCCTGCCCAGGTGAGCGGGGAGGGGGACGAGGCTGTGCCTTGGCCCCTATATTGCAGTACGCGTGTGATGTGAATGCAGAGCCTTCTTCCCAGGTGACACCATCCTAAACTAAAAGCACAGTCCTGGGGTTTAGAAATAACAGAGTTAACACAGCTTGCTTTTCCCCTCCCATGAAACTAACTGAACACTTGCCTTACTGCAATCCAATTAGGGTTTTGGGGGTTGGTTTGCTTTTTTTTTTGGTGGGTTTTTTTTGGTTCATTTTTAAAATGTAGTGACTAAGTGAAATCTGACAGAAAGGACTGTGGCAGGACCACGGCATGTCTTCTGACCACAGACATCTAGCTGTCAAGTGAAGACAGGCAATGAAGGCTGATGCCACGTCTCTCCTGACTGACATTTAGGGAAGCAAATGGTATACTTGCAAATAAAACAGGTGGACCTTTAAAATCAGTAAGACAAACGCAAAGTTGTGGGGGGATTTTTACATAACAGCATTACAATTCCAAAATATTAAAGGTTTGTTTTGGTTTGTTTTGTTTTTTTAATCCAAATGCAAGATTTTGAAGTCATGAATTAGATAATGAATTGTGTATGGATCTGGAGTTCCTAAGATTCCTGATGTTATTTGCTATAGAAAATTTCTATGAAGGCCCAATATTTTCTAAGAACCCCATCAGTGAGTGTTCTAGGGAAGCATTCAGAGGATATTTGGAATAGTTGATAATTTAAGTTTGATGTTAATAAATCCGGTTTGGAACTGAAGTGGCCAAATATCCCAATAAATGGCAGAGCTGCCACTTAGGTAGACACTAAGAGAATCTCTCATAGTCCTATGGATGAGTAAGCACAGCTGATACCTGGCAATAAATGCGTGCTTGGGTTGCTCTCCGTCCTACTGGTGACGGTAACCAGGAGCAGAGCAGAGCAGCCTGTGGTGCTCTCTCCCCGTAGCGCTGACAAGGACCCTTCTCTTGCTTCCCTGTGCAGTGCTTTGCTCTGCAGAGGCAAGAGCATGCTTCAGAGTGCAGCACAGCCCTTTCAGCCATCAAGCTACTAAATTCCAGGAGAAAAAACAAAAACATCTGATACAAAAAAAAGAGTGTATTGCAGCAGGGGTTAAATTTCTCCCAGATCCCTGTGGAGTCTGAGATGCTGAGTGACACCAGCACCGTATAGCGATGTTACAGAAACAAAAGTTGAGAACGAGGTCTCCCAGCATTGCCACCGGAGACCCTGATAAAGAAGTTGCAAGTTGCCCTTTCCAGCATCCATATAGGTGTTGGACAAAGCTGGCTCTAGCTGGCAGTGAGTACTGCAGCCTCATATGTGGTGACTTCTTGTTCTGATCTTTCATAGAAGCTTCATTGACTGGGAAATCTTGTACAGATCTCCTCTGAAGAGCCACTTTCGTTTCAGTTGCCTCAGAAGTCAGCATCTGCAGAAGTACTGAAAGAATTATTCATAGTGCAGCCTTTTCCTGGCAAAAACATCTCCTACGATAATTAGAGGCTGAAGTACAATATGAAAACTGGGCTAAACACCTAAAAATGAATCAAAATGTTTTCTGAATATTTTTTTTTTTATTTCTAGATCTCTAAATATCATGTATTTGAAAAACAGATTCTTGAACAAAAGTCCTACTTGCCCTGCCAGTTGCAGCATTTAAAATGAAAAAAATATTTGAATAGGAACCAATTGGATCAACTAAGACACCCTTAAAAAGGCATTAAATAGCATTCCCCATTTTACTAGTTTGCAGTGGGGTTGGCAATAACAATGATGACAGTGTAGTATTCTGCAAAAGGATATGGTGAAAGAAATGGATAGGGTGAAAGCAAAAAGAATACCTGAGCATGGGACTGCTTTGTAGTCTTGTCTCACAGAGTATTTGTTGCCCATAAAGCTATAAATATTTGATTGTGAGCTCCCTGGGCATTAAGTTTTTCTAGCAGCCGCGCTGTCACTCAGTTTGTCCGCTTTTCCTAACCCACCTCCCAAAGCCCCCCCCGCTATACTCTACATATACCTGAAAATATTGAACCTGAAAAAGTTAGTTGTAAGCCTACTGCAGTTCAGAACTTGCCAAATGTGCTCAGCTTATTCTGAGCTTTCTTTACAAATACACTAAAAACAACAATTTCCTCCAGACATTTTGGTAGGAGACAAAATATAACCATAATTTCAGATAAGTTTTTACTGAATCTCTTTTGTTAAGTAAAATATTTTAACCCAGAGTATTTAGCTCCCTAGGAACCTGTGTGCAATGTCATCAAAACCAGTTTCTCAAGGATTTTGACACAAAATTTGGCAGATATTTTCTAATAACTTATTTGTTTCTTTAGATATTAATACAGTAAAAA